ATACTCTTGAAACTTTGTGAGGGTATTTTGGTTAATTTTTAGTTTACAAATTATTTTTTAAATTATTAAGTAATTTGTAGAAAAAAAAATGAAAATTCAAATACGAAATGAGTTATTGACCGTCAAATCGGCTTAGTTTAGATTGAATCTAGGCCGTTGGTTGATACTATAGCTGTCGGCCTGTGGGCCGACAGAAACCATTCCCTCGTACATATATCTATTCGCCTCTGGTTAATCCATTCCCTTATACATATACCAATTTGTCTCTGGTTTTTGTTGTTGCGGTAACGTTTAGATCAATTCAAGGCGATAAATGATGAGGGCATGCCCATGTATGGGAGGCCCTTCATGAAGGGGAAGCTGTACATCCACTTCACAGTTGAATTTCCAGACTCTTTGAGCCCTGATCAGTCCAAGGCATTGGAAGCTGTGCTGCTTCCAAGATCATCAAGCCAGCTAACAGATATGGAGTTGGACGAGTGTGAGGAGACGACCCTCCATGATGTGAACATTGAGGAGGAGATGCGGAGGAAGCAGAGCCATCCTGCTCAGGAGGTTTATGATGAGGATGATGATGGACCAGCTAGTGGTGCCCAGAGGGTGCAGTGTGCTCAGCAGTGAGGGAGGACATGTCATGGTTGGGACATGATGACTGTTTTGTTTGTTTTGGATTGAAAATGAGATATATGAGGTCAAATTTCTTGTAGTGGGTGTACTATTCCTTTCTTTGGGTTGTTAGACCTGGAGGAGCTTCAAGGAATGCATAAGATAATGATTTTTTGTGGCTTAATGACCTTTAAGCAACCAGCCCTAGCCCTAGTGCCACATTACATTACATGGTATCTTTTGTGAAATTAAAGAGCCTTATATGGATTGATTGCTAGGTTCAATTAACAAGAAAGAAGGGCAAGGTAGATGGGTATTATATGAGGTGTATTGCTGTACAGGGTGCCTTCTCGAGATGGACTGCATGCGAGAGAGCTACATATCTGTGCTGCTTGTATGGCACGCACCTACCGGGAGGGATTTTTGTGAGAGACGTGTTTATGTTTGTAATTTTAGGTTTCTTTTTTGCGTGATTTTTGTTGCCTGGGGTATAATTTTAGGTTTCTCTTCTTTGTGCGCTTTATTTTCTAGTAGAGTATACAAGTAGTACGAGGGGTTACAATTTCTCATATTTTAAATTGGTTGGATTTAAGGTTTTAACAAAGAAACTTTTTAGAAATTTATAATACATCCCAAGCTATCAAATTGGACATGATTATGACCTAACAACGGCGTATGTTTTTATCCTATGCGATCATGGTTGCACACTGTTTTCTAATTTCCATTCTGTCTGATTCCTTCTGAAAATGTGTATTTCGATTGAATTTGGGGAAAACAAGGAGGTTGGAATTGAAGCGGCGACGGCAATCAAAGGAGAGAACATTTATATTGATTTCTTGGTGCAGGACTTTTTATTAGTATGTAATGTTGTTATATTATTTTTTGGATATTTCTTGGGTTTCTAATTTGGTACTTTGGCTCAAGACTTCGGATTATTATTTTCAATTTAATATAAACATTTAGATATTTATATATAGAATATATACAAATAACGAAAAAATAAGAAATAAAAATTTTAAAAATAAAAAATAAAGAAAAAAATAATTTTATTATATATATGGTCAAAGTGTTGGCCGAATCGGCCTGAAGCTGATCGAAGCGAATTGAAGCTAACATAATAAAAAGTATTAGGTTTTGTTTCATTTCAGTCTAGGCTGAAAATCTGGAGACTTCGACATCTTTGGTCGAAGCGAAGCAAATTTAACAGCAACTAGTATCAATGTTGTCAAATTTGTTGACCAAAGCAAAGTTAACGGCAACTAGTATCAATATTGTCAAATTTGTTTCGTTTCGGTCGAAGATGTTGAAGTCTTCAGATTTTCAACCTAGACCGAAGCGCAACAAAGCTCTAGTGCATTCGCTTTGGCCTACTTCGAGCCGCTTTGGCTTCTTTGATCGAAGTACAAAATTGTCTTTTAAAAAGGCAATTATGTGCTTTGGCCCGTTTCGATGTGATCCGGCCTTTTCGACTGAAGCTTCGACCCTTTTGACTATTGTCTTTTTTATTATTATTGTTGAATTCTTTATTTTAAATTTTTTATATATAAATATATATTTTACTAATATTACATTTTTTTTTCAAAATTCCAAATTCTTCTTCCAAATCGGCCTTCTTTTTTCCGACCAAACTGAGGAAGAAAGTGGAGAAGACTCCAAACGAAACTGAGGAAGACACAGAAGAAAACTCCAAAAAGCGAATGTGACAACAGACTCCAAAAAGCAAACGCGAATACGACACGACACACTTCAGGAATCGTCCACAGCCCATCCGAATGCGGGACAGACAAGCGTGCCTGCTTGTCCACATCATAACGTCACTGTGACAAAATAAATTTAATAGATAACAAACTCCTTATGCGATAAAGTTTTCAATATTTATATATTTTGGACACAATAACGAAAAATTATAATACAATTCACAATTTTTTTAAAAAATTAAATTTTTTTAAAATTATAGACTTTTTTTTTTAAAATACTTCTAATAGGGAAGTGTTTTTTAATATTTTCTATACGAAAAATTGTTTTTCTAATATTATAATATAAAAGTGATTTTTAATATTTTAAAATTATATTGATGTAAAATTTTAATACTATATTGTAATTAATAATTATACAAACATCTAAACAAAAAAACAATATCTCAGTATTCACTTATTTTTATAAAATAATGAAAGTACATAATGCAACACTCCTAATTTATTTTAAAAACTAAAAAATTATTATTGTAAATTTTTTTTTTGTGATTGTTTGAAATTTGTTTGGGAACAAAAATTGCCCTTTCCATTGATGGGACCGATTTGAGTCACCAATCAGTTTTTTTAAACCTCGGTATGGTATGGTATGACCTTTTGCTAAACACTAGGAAATAATTTGTGATTTGTGGAAAAATGCCGATCCTAATTGGAATCGCCTGGGATTGAAAAGTTGGCGATTCTGAGCGAAGGGAGAGGTGGGTGGAAGTGAAGTCCCTCCTGTATTTGTAGTCTTACAGCATCATTATTTGTATATGGCGCACTTTTCCTTGGCAACATAATTTGCAAGGCTCACACTCAGCGAGCGAATGCATTGAAGTTTTCCGTACTACTTTAAAATCACCCAACTGTGAACGTCTCTCTGCTGAATACTTACCAAACGATTTGATGACAGATGTCGAGCGGAGTGCCATGCCCTATTTACATTTGAGGCTAGGCATTCAGGGAGACTTCGACGCTCTCACCACATTAGTTACAACTCATAGAGAGACAGGTTATCAAAACTGAACTGAACCGAACCAGCCGGTCGGATTGCAAATAAGGGTGGCTGGTCAGATGAGCAGGTTTTGACTAGAATGAGAACCATTTTTGTAATATTTTTATCTTTTTAAAACTAAATCTCCTTAACTTCAATTTTTTTAAAATTTAAATTTGGACTAGACCGAGCCCTTCACTGGTTTGGCAGTGGGTGACCGACTGTTTGCTTTTTTTGTATACAGATGTTACAAACACTATATGCATGCATAGCTTGAGTGTGTCATTTTTCTACATAAAATTTGAAAAACAAAATTCTTAAGACTTGTCAATTTACATCCCCAATCACCCATCTGATAGGCCGGGAGGGGTAATTGTAAATACGAACTTTCCCATACTAAAGGTAAATTATCCTTCAATTATCTCATATATAGAGAGAGGAGTTAGGCATTAGATTACAATATCTCATATATGGAGAGAGGAGTTAGGCATTAGATTACAATATCTCATATATAGAGAGAGGAGTTAGGCATTAGATTACATGTGAAAATGACAGGGACAAGCTTTGAAAGGTTTTCCAAACACAGTTTGGTCCACCCGGACCTTCGTTGACATCTCCCTCGTAATTTAGTGTAGCATCTAACAAACGCCCGGAAAATTTGACAATGGCTACCGCAGAGATATAGAGAGAGAAGTTGACTTTTTGTTAAGGCGGCGGGTGTTGAATATTTACTCCTTCAAATCCCCACTTCCCCAAGAAACCACCCCAATTTTATAAAAAATCTCCCCCTCTCCTCCATAACAAACTTTAAACAAAGCACCAACTCTCCCTCCATTTACTATTTGTTATTATTAAATCCTCCTATTCATCTTCCCGTTGCTCACTGATGGCGCACATGTCAGTTCCTCCCCCCTCGTTGACATCCACCTCCACTCTCCCCCATAACAACCTATCCCCCTCCCAAAACTTTTCCCCTTCTCTCTCTCTCTCTGTCTCTTCACCGTAATTGCTCCAATTCTCTATAGATTGGTTGGAAAGAAATCCGTAAATCGAGTGAGCTTCACTCAAGACAGACATGGCGAGCACAGCAGCACCAGCACCAGCACCAGCAGCAATAACAACCAATCCGACATTGGGGTGTTGGCACACTCTGCCGTGGGCTTTAGTTATGGGATCGGGGTGTCGGTGGGAATCCTCCTCCTCATCACCACCATCATGCTTGCCTCCTACTTTTGCACACGCGGCCGCACTACCTTTCCAATGCCTCATCTTGCCCCCACCCATCCTAATAACAATAATAATCAACAGCATGGCAATGTGGTGGAGGATCATCAACTACAAGGGCTGGACGAGGCGACCCTCCTCTCGTACCCAACGCTTCCATACTCTCAGGCCAAGCTTCACAAGACCGCCGCCTCCTCTTCATGCTGCTCCATCTGCTTGGGAGATTACAAGGATTCTGACATGCTCCGTATGCTCCCTGATTGTGGTCATCTCTTCCATGTCAAGTGTGTGGACTCATGGCTGCGCCTCCACCCCACGTGTCCCAATTGCCGCAGCTCCCCCTTGCCTTCCCCACTCTCCACACCGCTATCTGAGGTGGTCCCCTTGGCGCAACAGCGAGTTTAGTCTATGACGCAGCATCTTCTCACTTATCACTCCATCCATCATATATCTTACACCGAAAGAGCAGATTCTGGTTCACCAGGCTGCAGTTCATTTCATTTGTTCACACTGTACATTGGCTCTCTTTGTAAATTTTGTTCTACAACATTTATTCATGTTTTCTATCATTTGAATACCATATCTCAGCCTTGCATTCCTCTCCGGAAACATGCCCATAAATCCAATACCAATAACCACAATCACTGCTCCTTGAGAGAACTATTTTTCAGACACACACATGGAGAGAGAGAGAGAGAGAGAGAGAGAGAGATTATCTGCTTAAGCATCAAGACTTTTTTACCACTTCTCTGGCCACAGTTCCTTTTTTTTGTTGATCTATAACATGTTTTCCACTAAACCTATGTCAAACAACTGTAGAGCACACTGTGAAAATCCATGGCCCTTGAGAGGTCTGATGCACGTTACTAACAGCAAAGGTACTCATCACATGGATGGAGCATAGCTTAGTGCTATCCACCAAGCCTAGTTTCAAGAGTTTGCAACATCCACCATGGAATTAGAAAAATTATGAGATACATAGAAGGAATCAAGTTCAATCTGTTTAAGATTTAAAGCCACAAAATACCATGGAATGGTTTTAGTTCCCTTCACTGGGGAGAGAAGATGCTGATCTCAGTTTAATAGCAGATTACACTTATTCACAAAGATACAGATGTATGTCTTTATCAGAACTGGTCAAAATAATGGGTATGGAATTGCTGTTCCAGAATATTCAACCATGAAGGGGGACTGGGAAAAGAGCACCTTAGAATACAAAAAGCATAAAACCTGCATAAACATGGTTACAAGACCAGTGGTGGTGTTTCATAAAGCATGTGTCCAGTTCCCAAACTGTGGCCAATGAGGAAGGTGCACAAATAATGCAGCCAAGAATTAAACTTTGAAACAAATTCAAGCTCTTTCTCTTAACCTTCCAAGCTGCTTTCACTCGAGGATCGTAATTTCTCTTCAAGTACACTTGATTTGCGGACATAACTATTTATGGATATATCAGTCAGAGAACCACATGGAGACAAGGGATCAAACTTCCCCTGCAGATACCGAAGTATACAAGGCATTGACACTGTCAACGTACCCTCAGTATCTATGCACATCCTTGCTATGACAAGCAGAATTTTGAGCTCTTTAGGATCAAAGTTAATTCCAAGATCTGGATCCACCATTGTAAGCATGGAATCAATGAACCTGTATTCCTGGATTAGGTTTATGCCCTCGAACTTTATTGATTGACCGGTTATGAGTTCCAGAAGCAGTAAACCATATTGGAAGACCACTGATTCCTGAGGATAAGAACTCTGGTTCTTACCTACAAGAAGAAGGAGATAATATGGATTGGTTAATCAGGGGGAAAAAAAAAACACGTAATTGGTAAGAAGACATCAGAAAAGCTCACCTTGCAGATGTGCCATTGTCATCTTAGAACCGTTGGACTCAAGAAAGCCAAAAGGAGAAAGCTGACACATCAAAATAATCTTCAGTTCCATGTTGTCTCAGTAATGTTGGGCATCATCACTGAAATGGAATTGAGTTTTCACTGGAAAATTTACCTTGGCGACAAAGTTCTCATCCAACAAAATTTTACTCGACTTGATTGATATGTTGCATACAGGGGGTTTACAAAATGATTGTAAATAATCCTGCCAAGCATATAACATTAATATATGACAGATTAGTGAAGCTTGAAAAGAAACTTATCTTTAGAACATTCAAAGTAAATGTCATATACCAGTGCAGAAGCCACATCAATAGCCACTTGCAACCTAGCCTTCCAGTTTAATGGAGTTCTCAAAGGATCTGCACAAATATAACCAAATTGTTCACAGCATGTTAAAATAACAACCGGGGGGCAGGGCTGAAAGATAGAATACCATGTAGGAGCTCTTTGAGATTTCCATTTTCCATATATTCCATGATGAGGAACCTGCAAAGCATGCAAAATCAGTTATTAATTAAAATTTATTCATCACTAACATGGTGGAAAAATGTGTCATAATTAACATTGCCTACTTGGGAGATACATATGTAGATGTAAGATAACTAAGAAGACCTATCGCGTTCTGCTGAAAACCCTCTGAGAGGTACAAGGTGGCGATGATGCAGACGTCCCAGGAATTGAACCTTCCTATCAAAGGTATCCTTCTGCACTTCACAAGAAGTTCTGACTTCCCTCACAGCAGCCACAAGGCCATCTGGAAATTGAGCTTTATAAACAGTGCCAAAGGAACCTCTTCCAATGATTGTGCTGAAATCTCCGGTTGCTCTTTCTATCTCTTTGCAGGTGAAGTTTCTAAAGAATGGTGAGGAACCTAAGAGGGAATTCCAAATATAACCAAAGGTATAAATACTTTACACAATACGAAACTAGGTAGTCATGGCTAGCACTCTAGACAAAACATTCATGGTGAACCAAATATACCTTTCTCTAACAAAAGTGACAAACAAAGAAGTGATAGAAAATTACAAGGGCACAAACTCATGCCATCTCCAGCTCTACCTTGTTTCCTCCTTTTAAGAATCAGCAGGATCATCATCAACAACAGAAAGATCAAGATTCCTATTATCCCGCTTGCAACTCCAATGAGCACATTTAAGCGTGGTGAAGGGTGAGTTTGTTTAACCCAAGGAACTTCTGCAAATGGATAACTTTCTGAACTCTGAGGACTAGGACCTGAAATCGAAGCTTCGGATACAAAAATAGGAGATGTATAATAACCTTTTCTTGTAGAATCTGCATAAACAACATGATTTATGAGTTAGGATGAAAGTTTATCTGCTGAAGGAAGACATAAAAACAGAGACTTTCATAAATTAAATCCAACCATAATTGATTAGTCATCTACTAAGTCAGAAAGCCAATACGTGGTACTTGGGATAGAATTCTGGAAGGAAGAATCGTTTTACAGTTCACTAATACTACAAACACAAGAACTGATTACAGTTTTACTTCCCGTTTAGACAGAAACCAAATTACTGGTATCCTCCAGTGAAGAAGGAAACCTCCTGTATTTCTTTTTTTTTTTTTTTGCGAGAAAGTTAACATAACCTCCTGTATTTCTTTTTTTTTTTTTTTGCGAGAAAGTTAACATAACCTCCTGCATTTCTACAAGGAAAAAAAAAGATGAAAAAAAAAAACTTGATGAACTAAAATAGCTTCAACAAATATCAAAGAGCATGTTGTACACTAAAACATCAACACTTGCTTAGGTAAACATGCAATTTACAAGGAGGCAGCATTCAGAAAGGATACAAGATTCTGAGGTGAAAGAAAACGATGCCTGTCCAAGATTTAGCTTTAAAACATGCATGATTCAAATGCGCATGATCCTAGTCACGCTTTAGCATGGAACATGTTGGAAACTTAAGTAGCCAACATAAAAGAACTTAACATCTATGCACAATATTCTTGTGCTGAAGAGTTCTTTCATCTGTGCAGACTTGCTGGCGCGTGTTATTCTGCAAAGATAGAAGAAGCAAGAACCTTCTGACAAGACGTGAGATCTTACTCAGAATTTCATATTTTTGGTAAGCAAAATAATCAGAGAAATCTTCTACTAATTTGTATAGAAGTGGATTGGCTTAATATTATTATGTCGGCCATAGAGAGACAGCACTATGACATTCAGGGAACTTAATTAATAGGTGGAAGGGGGTGGGGGGTTCTCTTTCAAGAGGGGATTTTATTTTTTCTTTCTTTTCCTTTTTTTTCTGGTTTTATGTCCTATGAATGCAGCACTTTACACACAACTTGACTTAATAGCTCTTCTTCCTATTAATGTATCAATAAAATTAATAACAAAGAAGAAGAGAAAAAGATAAGGAACTCTTATTAGTCTCAGCATTTAGCTTTGGGTTGTTGGACGGGAATCCAACACATAACAAATAAGAGAAAGAAATTATACATTCAACCTCTAAATACCAAAACCCACAAGATTGCACATGTGCCATGAAATCCCACGTTTCATTCATCATTCTTTAAAATAGATTTATTGAAGAAAACATAATTTTATTAGCCAATGTGAACATGATTTGCACCTACTTGGTGGACCTTGATTCCACTAAAATGGGTCCTTGGAATAGATGAAACGAGAAGGGCATTAATCCATGGATAGCCAACATTTGTCTCTTGATGATAGAATGAGTCATAAAAGACCACCCTTTTGTTATATCCTAGTTTAATATATGTCCATGTTCCAAATCCAAATCTAATACATGTCCTTGTATATTTACAAAATAAAAATGTCATTGTTCTAAATTTCTAGGGGCATTACAAAGACACTCAAGAAAATCAATAGGGAGCTTTGTTTAGTGGCAGTATTGAAGGTCTACACGTTCCAACCAGTCAAGTGGAATTGGAGGATGGAGAACGACTGAGCAGGGACATGTAAGAAGATTATCGAGGTAAGTATACGTGTATTGGAGCTGGACAGGGGGCTACAGATTTCAGAAGGTTGGCTAGGCTATTCGAGCCTTGGTTAAGCATTAATGGGATGAGGTTAGTAAGAAAGTAAGATTTAAGATAGGAGATGGTAGGTGTCACAGGGGTAAATCTCTCATTACCCAAGAGTTAGATTCAACTTTAATGTTTATTGTGGAACTTTGGGGTGGCAGCCCTCATAATAGGTTTCCAAGTCTAGTTGCGTGGCATACAACTTGAAGGCTTACACCAGGGTCTCCGACTGTGCCAACTTAGGAGCTGTCGTTATGGAGGAGGAGAAGGCTGAGTGGGCTTTACAGAAAATCAGAGAAGGCAGTCTTACCAAAACTATGGATTGATGGAAGAATACGAAAGCGGAATATAGCACGGCCTTCAGTAAGATCACTATGGTGCCCTCCTTACCCAACCTCAATAAGATCATGACAACAATCACCTTCGGCACCGTGGCCTCTGGTTACAAACTCGTGAATCGTGTATAAAGGCACCCAAACTTTGACTACATTTCGCATTTGCTAAGAACATTTTGGAGCGGTTTATTGCATCTTATTGACACTTATTGAAGCTTCAGAGGCATCGTTCTTTCTGTGTTTTTGTTAGTCCACCACTGGGTTGATTTCTTGATAGGCTACACACCTCCTAAAATTAGCCACTTGCACTCTTTTGGTGTATATGGAGATATGAGGGGAATAGAATCGCGTGATATTCTTGTTGGGATAATGAATTTCAGATTCTAATATTTCATGAACACTCAAAAAAAAAAAAAGACATCTGAACGGATGAGAATACTCAAATGTGAAAAAAAGTCCAGAATTTACTGTGGCATTTCTCTCAAATAGAAGAAAAGCATGTAATCACTTCAAGACACCCCACTAAATATTTGGACTGATTCATGTATAAGCAAACTTACTAATATAGACAGTACTATCACATTCTCAAAAAAAAAAAAAACACCATCCAGAACGATACCACCAAGAAGATGTGAACTGTTTTCTGGCATATCTTTCAGATTTTTTGTTTGCGGTTTTTTACAAAATAGCACAAAATTGATAGCGCGACACCGCTTGAATTGGTGTAAAAATGAGCAGGCATCACAAAAGCAAATATAAATTGGTTAGAGCAGCAATTGTACATTAACATTGAAAAGAAGAGTAAAAAGGGGAAGAAGAAGTAATGTGTACATGGTTAGAGCAGCAATTGTACATTAACATTGAAAAGAAGAGTAAAAAGGGGAAGAAGAAGTAATGTGTACGTGGTTAGAGCAGCAATTGTACATTAACATTGAAAAGAAGAGTAAAAAGAGGAAGAAGAAGTAATGTGTACCTTGCGTGCAAGTAGAAGTAGAGCCCATGTCGTCGTTACAAAATGGAGAAAGAAAAGGAGCAGAAGTTGCCTTCCCCTAAAATCTAAACCAGAGATCCATACGATGTGGCTCAACCTAAGATCCATGGCCACAAGTAGCAGTAGGAGGAGTATAATAAAGGAGAGGGAAGAGGATTCCTTTATCTTTCTTTACTGTCTTTCTCTTTTTTTGACTTTACTGCTGCACCACTTTACCTTTCATCTTACCGTCGCATAGACGCAGTTGAATCGGCGAGTTTTTCTGTATCTTTATCTTCATTAGTTGCATTGGAGACTAAGAATTATGATACCAGTTGGCACCAAAATCCCACTTTTAATTACTTTGGATACAGGGAGTGTCCCAGACCATTTTTTAAAGGGTGCGATTTGTATAGGCCCTAGGCTCTAAACAATCAAATTAGAGCCTACCTTCAAATAGTGCCGAGGAATGTGGTTTCAAAACCATAAATATTTGTGATAGCCTTAAAATATATTTTCATTTTTATTTATAAAGTTTAAAGCTTCCAAAATGGTCTAGATCGACATATCTATGAACAAATGAAAATCTTGAAAATTGATGGTAAAAAAATGCATTACAAAATACGTTATTTCCAAAACTTGAAATCAATTTTTTTTCTCATGTCCTTGCATCTTGATGTCGAGATGATCAATTTGAGGATATTTGGAAACCGTGGAATCCCAGTCGTAAGATATTCATCATGTGCTTTAGAATGTATATCACTATATAAATTTTAATATTTTTTTTTAGAAATCGGATAATAATGAAATTTTAGACGTGAGTACTAAAAAATAGGATGCACAATTAAAAAATATATAAAAATATTTTATAAAATATAAAATGATCAAAATACCCCTAAAGGATGATGGGGGGTAATTTGGTCATTTTAAATTATTGAAAATAATGTTTTTATATTTTTATATGGTGCACAATAGTATTAGGTATATACACTGAAAATTTCTTATTAATCATATTTATAAAAGAATTAAAATTAAAATAGTTATATGTATTTTGAACCACTCGATGAAGATCTGACGGCTAGGACTCTACCTACATTACCATTCATTATAGCTGCTAAGTGTTAGTAACGTTTACTCTTTTTTTAAAATGTTATGCAAAAGTAAAGAAATGTCATATTTAATGTTTTGCATGTCCATCCAATATGTTCCCAATACCTGTAGAGGATGAAAATGTGCCGTGGGATAGAAATGAAATAATTTCATGGGGTTGAATGAATATTGAATGCTTTGTTGATATGATACAAGTTAATAGTACAGTTCTCTTTTGTTGGAATAATCTTAAATGGTTCCATTTTGCATAAAAACTATCAAGAATATCTGCATAAAAACTTGATTAGGATGGAGCATAGAGGTTGTAAGGGTCCCTCAACAACAAAAGAAAGGAATTAAAATAAAATTTTTTTTTTAAAAAAAAACAAGAAATTTAATTTCATTCAACAACGACAGCTGCTGAGTTTTCATAGCACCATGTCTCAAATTTCATTCCTATATAACCTTGTCAAAAAAACGCAACAAGAATTGTATTAATTGGTTCCAGCCTTATACTGAGATGAATGATTTCCCCAATAAGGCAATCTTAATGTTAAAACACATTCCCATGAAATATCACAATACAGTCAGGATTTGTATCTATACTGGACAGATACAAAGTTAAATGGCAACTTTTACAGCAGCATAGTTGAAACGATTTTTCCAATTTTTGCCTGTTAATTCCACGTTGAATTAAAACAGAAAACATGATTCCAGAGAATCAAAATCTATTCAAGTTCACTTCACATGGAAAAGATAATGACAAAAAAAAAGTGCAAAAAAGGCAAGGCTCGATCAAAGTCCAACATGAAGCATCTCTTAACATCCTCCTTTTGTAGGCTTGCAACCACATCGATACTGTCCTGAAGCCAGATCTGAATATTTGTTATTTGAAGTGTGAAACCCCAGCTTCATCCACTTTTATCTCACTAGTACACAACTAAACTTCGTAGTGAGAAATCTATTTCTCATAAGTGCTCTTAAGCAACGACGCACATGATCTCAATCACATATCAGAGAATGGCAATAAACAGATTAACAGAAACTTAGAAACACCCTATCTTGCTAAAACATAATCTATCAGCATATAACGTTTAACTTTGGTTCATAGCAAAAGTACTTAGGAGTTTTCATGTAATTTTTTTTTGTAATTGTTAACTTTATTAATTGAACTTGTAGGGTACAGGAGCGTGGTTCCTCAAATTGGGACCGGGAACAAAAACTAACAAATGGGTGATTTCAACGGAAGCCCGAAAACAAAAATAAAAAAGGTAAAACAGCTAAGGAATAACACCGACAACACCTCCCAATGCAGCTACTAGTCTTCCACTAGGGGTGTAATTCCCTCACCTTCTTTGACAAGGGTGTCCGCCGTCGCATTGCTCTCGCGCCAAACGTGACTCCAAGATATCGAAATCCTCGAACAGAGATGAGAAATTTCTTCAAAGGTATGGGCCAAAGACCACGGATAGGGGGCAACCGCTAAGGCCCAACGAATCACGTTGAGAGAGTCTCCTTCAACAATGAGCAGAGACGTCCGTCTCGTAGCATACAAACGCAGGCCTTCGTCAGTTTGAGCATCAGAATGACCTATAGATTAGGAGTTTTCATATAATTGTGCCATCTATAAGCACCATTTGGGCGGAGGTGCTCTTTAACTCGCGGAGGTGGCTTTCCATTGCCATATGTTAAAAAGCAATTTGGATTCCCATGTGTAGTATCTTTATACATTCTAAAATATGTTTCCTTTTTAAGATGGTCACAGTTCTTGATATTTATGAATTTAGAATCCATAAATATTTGAGGTGAGATTGCACATACAACGAATCGCAGATTTGTGCACTTATAAACAACTGTACTTGATTTTGTGGATTCAAGATTCCAAAATAGTTAAGATCGAGATTCTATGGAAGTCGAAGCAAGATTCATGTTGACTGAATCTCAGTTCCTGCTCCTACAAACCTAGGTACTTGATGTAGTGGATTATAGATTCAAAACTAAACGAATGGAGATTCATTACATGTGGAATAGGGAATCAACATATGTGGAATCAAGATCCAATGAATGTTGGAATCAATATTAGAAAAGTTGGGACCGAGATTATGAAAAGGTTTGAAATAAGATTCTGAAATTAAGTTTTTAATTAATTTAAATTAAAAATGGTAAATAGAGTGTCTTAGATACATACTTTGTCAAGGGTTAATAATGGTAATTTTAAATTAATAACAATGGCAATTTTTTGCATTTCAAAATGGTATAACATGCATTATTGTATAAAAGTATATAAAATCTATCCGTATTTTTATTTAAATTTCATATTTCCCCAAAATCCATTTGTTGGTTACAGCCCACAAGACAGGACAATAAATATCGAGATGTGGGTATCCAGAAGAAGGCATAGATGGATGCCAGATCTCTATCATACAAGTTGCAGGTAGTGGGATGGTGGCTTGCAAAGACTTGTGCCTGAAAACCTCTACGGCATCCTATGCATGACAATGGCATTGGACGAAAATGGGTAAGAGTTGGGTCTTCGCTTTTCATTGAAGGAAGAAATCAGGACATTATGTAGTTCTTGATCTTTGTGATTACAAACTTGTCTTTGGAGTGATCACATGAGATCTGTGGCTATTCATGATCCCTCTATGGCTTGGCAAGCTTTAATAGGCCAACCATGAGCCTTTTGCATGTGAAGCATAGGTTTGTTGGGTTAGTTTGAAGCCTAAGTGTGGTTGCTGGGTTGTCTTGAAACGCCCAGCTAGATGATCTGGTACTATTGTTAGAAAAACTTAATGGAAGAAATTTTTGTGCATTAAATAGAAAAACTGGATATATACTCTTCCAAGATAGCGTAGTTATGTATTTAAATCTGATTCACCTATTATAAAACCTAATGCCAATGGCCACGCTAAAAGGATATTAGAAGAATGTCCATGAGTAATAAGTAGCTAGGACAATATGCTGGGCTTCATGGAGGATAATTGGATAGGATTTTTTGAGGACTACACCATTGTGATGGGTGCCTTGTCTGAAAAATTTGGGATCAACTATGAGAGAAATAGAAAGAAAGAAATAGACTATGGGTGCCTACAAGGAAAGCACAATTCTTGCAATATGAAAGAAATAGACTTGATCACCAAGCATGTTTATAAAATTGAATGTCCTTGCAAAATACCTTGTTGCATTTGGGAATACAATCGTCTACCACATGCCAGCCTCTATTGTCCTTGAAAATCTAACCTCAGACTGGATTATAAACTAAATCATTCTACATGTGGCGTCACTAAGTTGAACATTTCCATGGACCTTAGTAGTGAAGTTGAGAGAAGAATTATGAAAAAGCCAAATAAGCTTCACATTGCTCATAGTTTGTCTTTCCAAAACTCTAAAAAACCTAACAATTATAACAAAAAATACAACATTAGGTGTAAGGGGAAGGCAAACAACTCTAGGGCGTGTTTGGTGGAAATTTTCGGAAGCAGTAGATCCAAGTTCCATGAAATTACATGCTCGTGCTTTTTTGCCCTTATGGAAGCCGCATTTGGAACTCATAGGGCTTCCCTAAACAATGCCTTTTGATGTTGTTTGTGGAAGCCGCATTTGGAACTCATAGGGCTTCCCTAAACAATGCCTTTTGATGTTGTTTGTGGAAGCCGCTCTTTCGATGACTAGTGGAAGACGACACTTTGGCAACCTCCACTTCAACCAGACCAATCCAAGATTTTAAGTATCAGGCCGACCTTTGGTTTGCCGGAGTCACACTTTTGAGTGTCGGACCGCCTTATCGAATCACACTTGGAGCGTTGGACTGACTCAAAGCACAAAAAAGGGGGAAAATAGAAAAAAAAAAAGAAGAAGACGAAAACAAAAGAAGGTATTTGAAGGCGGTCTACCGCTTAAACCGACTTAATAAAAGCATAATGTTATTTTCAAAAAATTTATGATTTTTAAGCACTATCATTATTAATTTTCTCTTTGTAATTAAATACATTAATTTCATTTAATAATATATGTATATTTGCATGCTTTTTAAATTATTTATTGGTATCATAAGTTTTATTAAGAAATTATAATTGTTCCAAACTAGCATGCGAATTTTTAATATGTAAATTTTATGTACCCAAAATATGTATTCATATGTTTTATTACGTTTTTCCAATGGTTTGAAGTTAAATACATTATTTTCATTGAAAATAGGAAACAAACTTTATCTCTTTTTTAGATTATTTTAAACACAAAGGAAACCAACTCTATTTATTTTTTGAAATGTTCAAATTTTGAAGTTTCTCAAATAAAAAAATGTTGTACCTACTAAAATCAGTCTCATACATCTTATGTTTATAATATTACAAATTTTGTTAATACCATCTTCCTTTTTATAAGAGCTTTCAAACATAAATATTAAAGTTATCATAAGCAAAATTTCTATATTATGAAATTTGTTTAGGATCATTTTGTAAATTTTTGTTAATACCATCTTCCTTTTTATAAAGCGTGGGAAAAGTAAGATAGGGTAGTTTAGATTTTTTTTTATTTTTTTATTTTTAAGTTAGAGGTATTTGTTAAAAAAATGTATTTTGAAAAAAAAAAAAGAAAAAATTTTTTTTTGTTTGGAGGCAACTCGCATAGAGTTATTTGTAATTTTCCCAAAAATTATCCTGAGTTGAGATAATCGATGGGGGGTGTAGTTTCGAGAAAGTATTGTAAAAGGCTGCAACCCTCTCAAATCCTTAATCATTTTGGGAGGAGAGGAATCAGAAGATGACAACCATATCAATAAATCACGTTTGGTGCCAAGAGAGAAACTCAATTAAGTAAACTTTAAAGCAATCTCTTCACTATACGGTCTTCATTTATACTCTGAAAAGAAATAAGTTGTTCGTGTGGGCATGCTTTGTCTCTGTCATTTTTATTTGGGTTCTTCATTATTTCAGGCAATTCAGCTCCTCTCTTTCTCTAGTTTGATATTTTATTAGTTCAGACTTTCTCTCTCCTGTTCTGTCTCAAAAGTATTGCATAAACTCAGTCTCACCCCTGGTTTATGGTAACCAGAAAATCTAGCCCTCCGGTTGTCGTCATCTGTATGCATTTACAGGCTGGATTAATACTCCCGAATGCCTGTCTTCACCTCTGCAAATTGTTCTCGCCGCATCTTCTCCATGGCAACAACTGCTCTTTTTAATAGAATCTCTTTACCCTTTTCCGGGTGCATTACCAGATTCATGATGAGCAAATTTGCCTGAGAATACCTTATATGGAGGGCCTTCGCCTCAAATTTCATTGCAGAGAGTAACCCTAAAGAATTTGGGGCTGAAGCATAAGAAGGGGGAGCCTATCACCATGGTCACTGCTTATGACTACTCATCAACTGTTCACCTTGATCAAGCGGGAATTGATATTTGTCTGGTTGGTGATTCTGCAGGTACTCATATACCCAAAAAGAAGAAAAAATCGACTGTCAATGATCAAATATGAGGAGAAGTTTTCATTTATTTTCACTTCCATTAGTGTAAGTTGGTATCTATTTATAAGAGATAAAACATGTGTAATTGATGATTATTAAAAAATAAGGGAAAGTTCTGATTTTTTGTTACATTTTCATTTTAATTAGTGTTTTTGATGCATTTTCCCTCATGGTGGAGATTTCAAGATTAACCATGCAGACAAATAAGAACTAAGAAAGGAAAAAAAAAAATGTTCGTTGATGACCGTAGAAAAATATGGTTTCAATATTGGAAATTTTTATTAGCCTTAAAATATATTTTCATCTTTAATTATAAGATTTAAAGTTTCAAAAATAGTGTAGATCGAGCAGATCTATGAAAACACTAATGACTTAAAAATTGAAGGTCCTAAAATGCGTTATAAGATACAATATTTCTAAAACTTAAAAGACATTTTTTTCTCATGCCCATGCATCTTGACGTCGAGATGATCCATTTGACGATATTTGGGCATCAAAACATCCTCTTCTAGTGAATTTTTTGAGGTGGGCTCTAATTTGATTCTTTAGAGCCTAAGCTCTATATAAACTTTTCCCAAAAGAAAAATATATTGTGTATCTTATGGTTATAAAGAAACACAAAGAATTCATTGTTCTGTTGATTTTTTCATTTCCAGTGGTGTTGTTCATTTAGTTTGACCTTATTCATTGATTTTTCATTTCCAGTGGAGTATATCTATAAATATGTATGAGAATGTTACATAGAAAAAAAAAAAGAAGGTATTTTTCTTTCAAGTGGTATAAAAAAATCTTTAAGGATTTCAATGTACCCCCTCATCTTTTATTTCCATCTTTTATCAACTTTTGATCATAAAAATTAGCTCCAACAAATCTTTTTAAACCATTTCAACCCAAAAACTTTTTAAGGGTCTATCATGAAATAATATAAAAAACTAAAGTTCCATACGAAATTTTTCCTAAAAAATTAAGTGTGAAAAAAGACAAAAACATTTAGTGAGAGAGAACCGGTCCGGATATGTCAAAACCCTACCTAAGCACATATTGATGAGAGGCTTTTTGGATGGGTGTGAGACTTTCTCTGATCCGAATCCATTAGGGCCCTACATAAGCGGTGTGAGACTTTCTCGGTTGTTGCTTTTACTGTGCGCTTATGTTCTCAACAATCTTTTGGCTGGGAATCCTTTATTTGTTAATGCGACGCTGCTGTTGGGTCAGCTACATACATATAATTGTTCATAACAATTTTAAATTTTTAATATTTATTTTATGCGATTGTTTTGAAAGACACCATCTACTTTTTGTACAAAGATGCCACAATCAGTTTTGCTCTTTAAATTTCAAAATGGGTGATTGTAAGGGTGTTATTGAATATCTACAAAGTTACAAACAAAAACAAAAAAAATATCTGACTTAGTGACTTACCTCAAACCATCAAATTTAGCATTTAATAAGTATAAATAGTTGTGACTTTCTTATAATAAAGATAAATAATCTATTTGTAATAAGTAAAAATAGTGGTGACCTCCTTGTATTTGCATAGTCACATGGCACAATCATAATACATTAAAGAAAATCGTTTCATGTAGGTTGGACCGCATTTCTATAATATATGGTCGAGAGATACAAAATATCTATCTTAAAGATGGATGCAAATAGGTGGTCCATCAAAAAAACAATTGTAACTAAGGGCCCAATATGCGGGCTGGCCACATAAAAACCGTGTCCATACACATGCTGGCTCTTCTAGTTCCATTACCCATGATCCCTCTTTAGGAAAGAGAGGATATTTGGTACTTTAAAAAAAAAAAAAGAAGAAAGAAAAAAAAAAGAATGAAAGGAAGATATTTGCTACTCTCCTTGGCCTTTGAACTTCACTCTCTCCAAATATGGTGGGGGGAGGGGGAGTGTGTTGGTTACTAAACACCCATCTCCACAAAAGGGCCACATTTCGAACGTGTGGATGAAAGAGAAGGTGAATCAAAAGGAAGCAATCTCCATCACAAATCTCTCTATATATTTGGTCTTGGGTTTGAAGGTACAACCCCTTATCTCTCTTATCCTGAAAATCTCCTGCATCAATGGGGGAAGGATTGACACATCACCCCAATATCTCCTCTCTTGGGCTTTTCCTCCACAAAACAGATTTTCTCCCTCTACAACACCCAAACCCCATTTATTTAACCCCAATCCATTATCAGCTCACTTAGTTATACTTTAATCATCTGTCTTGTCATCGGATAAAAACCAAAATAAAATAAAACAATATGGATGTCAGTAACAAAAAGCGTTCTTAAACTAAAAAATCTTTTTGACCTCAATTGATATAAAAATAATAATAATTTTGAGTAACGACTATTTTCAAGACTTTTAAATGTGTCGGCATTTTTTTGTTAGAATTATAAATTAGATGACTAGTGTCTATCATCCAGATTTTAGAGGGGCGGAGAAAGAGAAAATGAAAATTGAGTGGGTCGCTGAATGAAAATGATGAGGAAAAAGTCAGAGAATTGAGTCAATCATGGAAAAATAAGAATCCATAAGAGGTAATGAAGGACGATGTCTTAGTTGCAGGCCAGCCAGCATTGGAAGAATTATTAGAGAGAGAGAGAGAGAAGGAAGTGGGTGTGGGTCGCCGTTGTGGAGTGTGGATAGAGCGCGCCTTCTCTGACCAATAAACGCAACGCGCACATTGGACGGACCGCTTCCCCTTTCCTTTTACTTTTATTACCTCTCTCTCTCTCTCTCTCTCTCTAGCGGGTCAGGTCAACAAACATCGACTTCTCTCTCTCTCTCTCGCTCTTAAGTTCCAACGACGAAAACAAAACCCTCACTCCCTCCTCCCTCCTCTTCTGTTTTGTTGGAGGTTGGAAGGCGAGTGGTGGTAGCCATGGCAGCTGCTGTAGCCTTCGCCACCGCTTTTCCGGCTAAAACTAAAACCACTCGCACCTCCTCCTCCTCCTCCAACACACGTGGTAGCAATTGTAATAATTGTAGCAGGGCCAGGGCCATGGCCAAGCCGCCTTCTTCTCCATGGATGATGATGGTGCCCTTCTTCTCACCCAAGACCTCCAAACCCCTCTGCTCCGCCCCAATTAGATGCCAATTGATTCATGATGATCACATTATAGAACAATCCTCCTCCTCCTCCTCCTCAATGGCCTCCAGCCTCTCCGCGCTTGAACAGCTCAAGACCTCAGCAGCTGACCGTAAGTCTTTTTCATCTTTTCAACTTTCTCCTTTTCTTTCAAGGGATTCCAATTTCAATTGCCTCCTTCCATTCATGAGATTTAAGTGACACTTTTAGTTGGTATTTTTTCCTTAAAAAAAAATAAAACAGAGAGAATTTTAATTGGCATCAATTATTTTCATGGGGTGTTTCCAATCCAAGTTGGGAAGTTTCAGCTTCTGAATCTGCACATAATTGGGTATATGTGGGGAAATTTCTCTCATTACCCTGTTGCAATGATTCTTGTTCAACACTTTACGCACATTTCATGCATTAGTTATTTGTTAGCTATCATTTCCGAGATATTATTCAGAATGAGTAAACTGCGTTTCTTTAACCTCTGTAATTGGAGGACTTGGAAATTTCCATAATTTGGGAAGGAAATTTTATAACCAAAACCCAACTCTATTCTACCCCTAAACTCTTCCAAGTCGATCTAATTCTGACTCTCTTTGGATCTGATAGCCTGGCCCATCATCATTATATTCCTTTGAGCTTTTTCCCAACTATTTGGATCGGCTACACGAATCGAATCCTGGTCCACTATCAAGGCATTACCCTCAGTGAGGCCATAACTCTCTAGATCTTTTCACACTACTTCCAACCATGTCCATTTGGGCGAGCCTTCCACTTCAACTAACTCGCACCTTCTAATTCTCTCTCCCTTGAATCTTCTTGAGAATCCACTCTTCCTCTCTCTGCTCTACTGTTACTCGGCTGCAATGATCTATATCTTTTTGTGGAGGCTAATCTTAGGTACAGTTGCCTCAAATGAGGTATGATCATGGCCTGCAAAAACTTAGTGTTTGATCAATGTGTATAGTTGTTATAATTGTTGAATGCTCGATATAATTGTTGAATGCTCGAAATATTTTTTCTTTGATTCACTAGTGCTAGATGCATATTCGTTTATATAATGGTTTTCGTTGAATGCACTCGTAGACTTCTGAATCTTGGGGTTCAATCTCAAGGCAATTGCAAAAAGTCAGATGGATATCTTTGATCAACCATAGGTCTACCTTTAAATGGGTTTGTGGTTTGAGATTGAGAAATTGCAGATTCTTGCGTTTGCAGATTTTATAAGTTTCTGTCTTTTGGTTTGTTAAGTGCATTACTTGTTCTTGCTTGTGTACATTAATTTTCAACAACAAATCATCGTCCATTTTTTCAAAGACTAGGAGCATATCTTAACCATTACAAATAGGGAATAAGTGGTCAGTGGTCCTCAAATTTTCTTCTCAGCCTCCAAATCTATAGGAGTTGCCAATAGTATTATTGCTGAGGCCAGTGCTTTGCTTGAGAGTCTAAGGGCCTTCAGACCTGAGTGGGGTAATTAAATTGCCATTGAAGGAGATTCTAAAACTATTCTCTCTTGGGCCTCTCATTCTGCCGCTTACCCTTGGAGGCTGGCCCACATTTTTTATATCACCAGACATTTTCGCATCTCTTGGACCCATATTTGGTGGGAAGCTAACTCTTGTGCTGACTCCCTCGCAAAAGAGGGGCCAGCATCGTCGACTGGGGGTGGAACCCACTGACATTTTTGAAGACAATGGCTTCCTCGATTCTTTTGTCATATCGAGAATGTATAGCATTTTTTGTATCTAACTCACCATCTTGGTGATATGCTGCCCCTTTGAGGGGCTATTTTTGGTATACTCATTCCTTTTCCTTAATACAAGTCAAATTTTCTCAAAAAAAAAAAAAGACAACCTAGTCATAGTTATGAATGCTGAATTCTTTTTTTGGTTTTCGTGTATTTCTAAAATACCTCGGTGATTGTACCTATTCATAGGAGCATCAAAAAACTTTCTTTTTGTGAGCTTGAAAAAGTAATTTGTTCATACTCTTCTGTTACTGACGTGTACTCACATTTTGCTCTAAAAAATATGAACCTCTTTTCTTCAGCCATTTTCATTGCGTGTTTCCAATATAGTGTCTGTAAATTGCAATGCATAGGAAATTGGTTGCAGAAAAAGCAAAAGTGTGTCCAATGATTTTTCAAAATAATGAAGTCCTGGATTTATTGCTCAATTAACTAACAGATAAGAAAAATCATGACAAACATTGTTTTATTTTTGCGTAAATTTTCTGAGAATGTTTGAGTAGCTTGAAGATATCCTTCGTTTCTAGTGAGCATAGAATAGAAGTAACAAATAAGAGATGACCTTCTCCCAAAATAGAAGCAATTGTTTCTAAGTATGCTCGTGTCTTTATAGGCATTCAATTTATGATACCTTGGTCACTTACAAATTGGTTATGTTCCTATATAAAAACCTGGGATATTTTTGTTGCAACCAAAGAATTTGTAGGTAACTTTGTGCTCCAATGAATTTCGTTTTCAGTTTATATCTCGTCTTGGAATTGGGTTTCCGTCACAAATTCTTTCAGTGCTTGATTTCTGGCTCTTTTGAATACATATTTACTTGCTACTTAAAGGATTGGAGAATTTGATTTATGATTCTGTTGGACTCCTTGCCAAAAACAGGATACACAAAAGAAAGGAGCAGCATTGTAGTTATAGGACTGAGTGTTCATACGGCACCTGTAGAAATGCGTGAAAAGCTTGCCATTCCTGAAGCGGAGTGGCCCCGTGCGATTGGAGAGCTCTGTGGCCTGAATCACATAGAGGAAGCTGCCGTCCTTAGTACATGTAACAGAATGGAAATTTATGTAGTTGCTCTATCTTGGCATCGAGGGATTCGTGAAGTAACCGAATGGATGTCCAAAGTATACATTTCTTCTCAAACTCTTTCTACAGTCTTCTTATTTTGGTTGCATCAAAATTATACATCAAATCATCAGCTGGAAATGCGCTATTATTCAGTTAAATTCTCTTTGGAACTTGGGTTGGTTTAATTGAAAGTCATATAGATGAGTTGAATTGTGCTCTCTCTCTCTCTCTCTCTCTCTCTCTTTCTCTCTCTCTCTCTCTCTCATATCCTTGTCTATTTTTCTTCAGACAAGTGGAATTCCTGTCTTGGAGCTCCGTCAGCACTTGTTCTTGCTGCGGGACACCGATGCTACGCAGCATCTATTCCAAGTATCTGCAGGGCTCGACTCTCTTGTTCTTGGGGAGGGGCAGATTCTTGCACAAGTCAAACAGGTCGTTAAGGTGGGGCAAGGGGTCGTTGGCTTTGGAAGAAACATCAGCGGGCTTTTTAAGCAGGCAATATCCGCAGGGAAGCGTGTTCGCACTGAGACAAACATTTCGGCAGGTGCAGTTTCAGTTAGTTCTGCTGCTGTTGAACTGGCCCTTATGAAGCTTCCGAAATCAGACTCCCCTTGTGCGGAAATGTTGGTGATTGGGGCAGGGAAGATGGGGAAGCTTGTGATCAAGCATCTGGTTGCTAAGGGATGCAATAAAATCGTGGTTGTAAACAGATCAGAGGAGAGGGTATCAAGCATTCGTGATGAGCTAAAAGACGTGGAGATAATCTACAAGCCTCTTGAAGATATGCTCTCTTGTGCTGCTAATGCAGATGTCATATTTACCAGTACCTCATCTGAAACACTCTTATTTGTCAAAGAAAATGTCAAGAATCTCCCCCCAGTGAGCTCAGAAGTTGGAGGGCTGAGGCTCTTCATCGATATATCGGTCCCTAGGAATGTTGGAGCATGTGTTTCAGAACTTGAGACTGCTAGTGTTTATAATGTTGATGATCTCAAAGAAGTGGTGGAAGCCAACAAGGAAGATCGGCACCGGAAAGCAATGGAGGCCCAAGCCATCATTACTGAAGAACTGAAGCAATTTGAAGCCTGGAGGGATTCCTTAGAGACAGTCCCCACCATCAAGAAGTTGCGGGCTTATGCGGAAAGGATCCGACTCTCGGAGTTGGAGAAATGCATGGCAAAGTTCGGGGATGACCTAAGTAAGAAAGAGAGGAGGGCAATTGATGATCTCAGCAGGGGCATTGTGAACAAGCTTCTGCATGGTCCCATGCAGCACTTGAGATGCGACGGCAGTGACAGCCGAACTCTTAGTGAAACTCTTGAAAATATGCATGCCCTCGAGAGGATGTTTAGCTTGGAATTGGAGACATCTGTGTTGGAACAGAAGATAAGAGCCAAGGTGGAGCAAACTCAAAAATGATCCGGTGATCCCTTCACTACAGCGTCCGATTAATCTTCATCATATTTCCTTCATTTTTTGATGTTTGGTACTGAAGTACTCATACTCTTACTTTCTCTGATCCTAGGCATCCTCATGTTGGAATAAGGGGCCCTTTGAATTCAAGATTAGTAAATATTATTTGAGGATCCTTTAGGGTGAGACTTTGATTAGAAGAATTAATGATTGTTGTTCCTTGGTGAGTTCCATCTCCTTGTATGATTTTATTATTGTATGAGCCTGCAAACCCAGCAGGAGTCACATGCGAGAGTCAGCTGTGTATCACTTGAGGTTATGGTATGCTTCAGTGTCAGGCCATTGCTTGTGGAGTAGAAGTTTCGCCTCATTCTTGTAAGCACTTCATCTGAATTTAGTCAAATTGGTTTAATATTTGTAAAGTGGTTTTCTGGATATAATTATTTTTCTTTTCTATTATCTGCTTCGGCATTACCTTCAATGAAGTTATAATATTTGAATTGAAAAGAATGAATGGCATTAGAGAAAGATAGGACTGTGTAAGGTGATGATTGTATATACCAATAATTTAAGGGAGAAAAAACATGGAAAACTTTACAAGAAACGAGTACGGCTTAACATGGCCTCAGAATGCATGAGTTTGTCTAAGTTGATGATTGTATGTGTCGCTAACATAAGCAGCGTTACCACAACATGTGGCCTCTTTCTTATTTTGTGTCACATGTCGAAACATATCAACGTTTGGTAGTATATTAAACATCAAAAAATTGAATGCCACATAGGGGGCCTCGAGCCTCATCAATCTTGGACTTATTCCATTAGTTCTCCCACTACTCCATGCACTTATTAGGTGACGTAAAATGAAGAACTATATAATACATTATGAAAAAATTAGCTTTTTTTATTTATAAAAAAAAAGTGTATGGATGTGTCTAACCATATCAACTTTTTTTTGCCAGTATACTAGACACCTACGATACTTTAAATGCTAAAACACATATGTTGGTGTCCATGTAACACTGAATGTAAGAAATAAAAAATTACATGGAAAACTATCAAGGAACGAGTCAGCGTTAACATGGTCTCGAAGATACAATAAGAAAGCGTTTGCATCTGAACTTTGTGGAAGTTGATGTATACAAATCTCAATGATCAATGTAAATATTAAAAAATGACTAGAAAAATATATAATAAAAATGCTGCCTGAAAAGAAAAAGAAAATCAACATATAGCCTAGAACATGATGCCCATTGCCTAACTGGGGGATCTTAGCCCCTGCACCCGTATTTGAGTGGCTGTTTTCGATCCCTTTGGTGACCTAAACTGGAGGCTTTTGAGTTGTTGCTCTCTGAGGTCATGATGTGAGCTTTCTGTAGGTTGTTTCAATGCTTTCCATTGGTTCCATTTCTTCTTTCCAGTTCACGAGTGTTCTGCAACATCTATTTCAACCAGACACAAGAAATAGATAATTACAAAGACAATCTGTGTGTATCTTCCATTTCTAATATATCGAATCTTCAACCTGAGTCCTACAAAAATTCTAGCACTTCATATTCTTCTACATGAAACTTTTTTAAAATCTTAGTTGATGTTATTTCACCTGCAATTATCATTCCCCCCGTTCAGTGCATCTCCTATGTTCGAGGTTTTACAAAGGCTTTCAAGGACAAGTAGGCGATCTGAGGTTACTAGGAGCTTGTTGATGAAAACCCTACCATTCTTTATGTGATTGCTGATTTTTATGGACCTGTTTCTGCAGCTATAATTGTTTCTTACGAACCTGGTTGGAGTGTGGAGGCTTGTTCTGCAGCTATAATTGTTATGGTGAAAAAAATTTAATTAAAAGGAGAACATCCATTTCTAAACCAAATTAAACTATCTTTGAAAAATGAATGTTGAAACTTGAAACATTAAAGGCCAAACATAATAAAAAAACATATATAATCAAACTGTTCTATATAAAAAAGCTGCAAGCCATTTGTGAGGAGAAACTAGCTTAGTATGCAGTGAAAAGGATGGAGGGAAAAGATTGGTTCATTGATTTAATGAAAAATTCTATGTACTTCATTTTCGTCAGATGAGTCTCCATTCATTTAGGAAATCATTTATTTTGATCATCTACCTCTCCAAAAGAAATCCGGGTGCTTTATCCTCATCTTTTTATTAAAAATGGCTGTTAAGTGATGGAGCATGAGCTTACTCATCATCGAAGAGGGCTTATAGGTTTCAACAACAATATTTATGTGAAGGAACCAGGGACTAGCTATAACGTCTAAAGCTTCAAGTCTCATTTTTATTGCTCGATAAAAATACTTATTCTTATTTTATGAAAATGGTGGTTTCAAAAATTATTGCTTGCCTTCATCTCCAAGCTTTGGGAAGTGATAGTCTGCAGTTCTCCCTACCCCTATTAAAAGGAAAGGGAAAAAGAAAACTGTCTTGTGCACGTGCATGTCTCTGTGTATGTGTGTGTGTGTGTGTGTGAGAGAGAGAGAGAGAGAGAGAGAGAGAAAGAGAGCACAGTGACATCCGCGATTGTCTCATCTTGTGGATACTTTCGGAAAACGGTTGGCATTTTCTCAGAGACAGCTTTGTTTTATTATTTTAGGAAACCTAGTGGCATTCATATGGTTTAGACTTGCATGTACTAGCATGGCAAATATGCCCCAGATTCATTTACTTGTGTGCATGGTATACATGATCGAAGATAGATTGTTGACCCATCTTGAGCTTAGGGCTTACTATAGAGGAAGCATTTTTTATTCAATTCAATGGATGATGCAGATTTCAATAGGGAGTATTTCCAGGATAATCCAGAATGTGGGTTCAATGCACATTCCTGGCCCAGTCGGGCCATCATAGTCTCGTTTGGACCCCATCCCCTTCAGGTTTGTTCACGGTGTCCTCCTTTTATAAAAATCTTTTGGAACCCCCACCTTCCCCTACTCTCCTCCCTTGGTGGTGTCAAAAGTGTAGTCCTCAAGAGCCCCTCCTAAGGTCCAAGCTTTCAACTGGATTGCGACCTGTGAAAAAGCTCTTACAGTGGATCACCTTCAACGCAGAGGTATCCCATCCCAAATCGTTGTGCCTTGTGCCTTTTGTGAAGAAGAAAACTATTCCCACCTTTTCATCCATTGCGAATTCGTTTTCGACATTTGGAGCAGGATTCTTCCCCTCTATGGCCTTTCTTAGGTCACTTCGGAATCCTTACCAGACCTCCTCAACTTCTCGTTTTCCATTTGGCCTAAGGTAGGCATAATCTTATGGAAGTCATCCGTAGCGACAACCATTTGGATCATCTAGAATGAGCGAAACTCTAGAATTTTCCAGGGTACCAAGAGCTCCAGCCAAGCGTTCTTCCACAAGATCACCTCACAGGTTATCTTCTGGGCTTCCAACTACAAGGAATTTAAAGGGGTCTCAACTTCGACCTTCCTGCAATACTGGGCAAAAATACTGCATTTCAGACCGCCAAGGGTGGCTCGCGCAAACAATTGGTCCCCTCTACCTGAGGGCATACTGAAACTCAACTTCAATGGGTACTCCCTAGGCAACCCAGGTCCAGCTTAGGGACCATTTAGGCAACATTTTGACTTCCTACTCCTAAAATATTGGCCATGCAGACTCCCAGCTCACTGAATCTACGGCCCTCCTCATGGGACTCAAATTATTCAATCACTTCTGGCCCCAGCCTTTGATAGTTGAAGGAGATGTACAGAATATTATCACTTGGGCTGCTGGCCTTGCACCTCCCCCTTGGTACCTCGTCCCGATTTTTGACGAAATTATGCATATAGGCAGGGATACAGTCGCCTTATGGACGCATACTTGGAGGACGTCAAACGGCTTGGTAGACCAACTGGCTTAAGAGGGAGCGCTCATGAGCCCCTGAGAGACTGTAGTTTTTCACAGCCGGGCTTCTCGTCTCTTACTTCGTGCTTAAGACTTTTTGGATTATCCCTTCCTTTTTTTGTATATGACTGTAATGGGCAGTTTATATAAGCCCCAACTTTTTTTGTACAGGGATCCTCTCTAGGGAATCCTATTTAAAGACAGCATTGCGGTCAACTTCTTCGGAAGCATCAGAAGCAACCAATCCATTTGTATAAACTCCCTTCGTTTCACCTGGCTGAAATACTCTACTCACTGCTTGACGAGTCATTGGTGGTTTCAAATGTACATCCAAAATTATAACCCTTGGGGCACTCACTATAGATGTGCTTTCTCCACATGCTCTGGTCAAACCAAAAAGAACCCGAGAACCTGGAGAATTGTTAAATATCTCCATGAACTCTTCCTTTTCTTAAGGCCTGAATCACCTGAAATCTGAAATATTCTCTGCCTTGAACCCACCCCTTTCGAGCAATAACTAATTTCTCCAAAAATATCAGAAGAAGATGATATTGGCTGAAAACCAAAACCTTGTTACCAATAGCCTCACTTTGAGACAGTATGTTTAGCATAAATTTGGTTTTTGCACCATCATTGACCTTCTCACCAATACTCATGATTTAGTCTAGTTTCTTACAAAATTCAGCACTGGTTCTCCCTTTCTTCACAGAGGTTGCAGATGTTGTTTCCAAGAGCTCCTCAAGTGAAGGACGCATATAAACCACACACCCCACAAAACTTCTTTTGAATTTTCCCTTGTCTTTAAGCTTTTTAACTTTATTAATAGCTTCCTGCTGCTTTGGACTAACCCGCAGGATGACTGTGAAGTCTACAAGCCCTGGCACCTTGTATCAGTGAAGACATTTTCGGTCAACTCCCTCAAAATCTTTTGATGTGCTTGTTCTAGTGCCCATATTTTGCAGTTGCAGTGTCTCCTCAACAGTGGATGCTATACTGGCCGGTTCAAAACGGAACTGGCTGGTTCTGGTTTGGGCCGGGTTGAATGATCAGGCCGGATGTTCTAAAAAAAATTATATAAAATCCCAAAAAATATTTAATTTGTTTGTAATACGTTTTTAAATTTTTTTTAAACATTTTGGCCATGAACACTTATTTTTACATTTTTTCTTTTTTTTTAAATTAAAAAATACCCTTGAGAACAAATCGATTTTTAAAAATCTATTTTCCACTAATTTTTCTAACTTCATTTTAAAATCAAATTTTCCCTAGTTTTCAACTTCATTTGGATGTGCTTTGTTTATTCTTGTTTTAAATATACTTTTCATATTTTTCTAGATTTGGTTTTGTAATTCTTTTTAAACTTTTTTAACCACTCGGGACTTGTACGGTCAGGCCAGTCTAACTGCCCGGTTTACCGATTACTCGGAATGAACACTTGGCCGGTTTTCAACGCCAATTCGATTTTTCGAACTCCTCAATCAATTCACATAAATTCTTATCTACTCGAGAGTCGTACTTCCGCTTGAAGCACCCTATTAGTGGAATTCTACTCAAGATCTTAGTTAGCAAGTTGGTAAATAATAAAATATCGGTAGACCAAAACATTGGTAACAAATCAATTTTATTTTAACAAATAGAATTGTGAATATTTCATATTTGATTAAAAAAAATGTAGTGAAAAAATCAGATATCTAAAGATGACGCATCGTAGGATTATGATTTGCAGCTATTGTATAGATATACTAAAGCCATTAAACAATAATTTTATAGCCTTAAAAGTGTCATTAGAATAGTACTTAACTATTTTTTGTTGAAACTTTTAATAAACCTAACAACGATGCTTACTCTGTTGTCACAACACAAAACATATCGTAGATTTATTGGGAGAATAAAACGAAGCAACAACAACAATAGTAAACATAAGAGCTAATAAGCAAATAACAAGCATTGTGAACCAAGATATAAGATTATTTTTCAAAAATAAAAAAATAAAAACAGTCTCAATATAGGATTACAGTTAATTAAAAAAACACAAAGACCCAAATATGTAAAATAGTGGACCATTCAAAAAGCTATGTTTTATACCCCAACGAAATAAAAATAAATATTAGAATATAAAATTAATCAACCTTCTCTATGCATAAAGAAACAATAAAATGATTAAGCAAATTTGAATCTCACATTGAATTCCTAGCTACCTGAATCTTTAGTATCATTGAATCTCTTTCTTGCTCTTTATAAGAACTTCATGGGTTTAAACAAAAATAAATAAATTCTTCTTTGGGTGACTCTTCTTCTAATTCTACCTATTATTTTGAGATATGTGATTGTTTTAATTATTTTTTGGGGAAATACATTGCTTCTATTTTTTATACACTTTTTTTAAGGTTCACCCATGATGGAATTTTTTTATTAAATAAATATTTTTAATTTACTCCCACTGTTAATGTATTTATCTTTATATCAATTTTTAATAATATTAAGTTAATAAATAAATAAAGTTATAGGAAAGAAGTTTATTTGAAGAAAGATAAAATACGAATTTATATCGGTACTATTAAAAAACACAAATTTTTAATACCTTTTGAAAATTCATAATGGATTTAAAAAAATCTGAAATTATTTGAAAAATCATGTTTTGAAGTTTAAACATGGACGTGCTAACTATGCGTTGGATAGGGTAGTGGCACTAGATTCCGGTCTTACTCCAGCAGGAGCAAGAGATCTTTTGCGTGTAATATTTTTCATTTTGTACATATTTAAATGTATTTTATTCTTCACTACTTTTATATTAATATATTTTTTCATAGTTTTACTATTGGGTGCACTTGGCATACGGATGCATCCGTAGGTGTAGAGGTAAGGTGCACCTTCAAATTCTATCATAGTATAAAATTTTGATGTAAAATGTTCTTAGGATTATCTCAAAA